TCCTATGCCAGCTCCCCTGGCTAGGCAGGAGGTGGTCTCTGCTCCTCTGCCGGCTCCTGCCTGCATGCGCAGCTTCCCTTCCCCACACTGGCACACATGCACCTTCCCGGGCCAGGAATGCTTCCTGCATCCTCTGACACGCCATCTGCAAGGCAGCCCCTCCCCGTGCCCTGCTGGTTCCGAGTCTCACAGTGCTTTGGATCTTCCCTGCAGGGTCCTGGCCAGACCCAGTAGGCCCACCCATGTGCGCTCAGTTCGTAAACACTTGCCTCCCCGCTGGACAGCCGCTTCTGCTGTGGCAGGGCCTGCAGCTTCTATCAGTGCGGCGTGGCCAGTGCCCAGGAAGGAGCTCACTCTCTGTTTATGACGGGACAGGAGGCAGTGAGTGAGGATTTGGGTCCCCCACCCCAACAGCTCAGCCCCCAGGCATCTAGGCGGCATCTTCTGCCATCTCTCTTCCAGCGACTCCTCCTCAGGCTCAGCCATTCTTCTTTCTGAATCCACCACTCATGTGTTGAGGTCTCCTGTATTTTGTCCTCTGCTGTTCCCTTACCTGCTCAGCTCAAGGCTTCAGATGCTATCTTTGTACCCATGGCTCCCCGAACTCCCTTTGAGTTCCAACCCCAAGTACAAGTTTATAAAATATATTAACTGTGTATATTTAGACCCCTTATACAACTGGCCACTGGCGCTCTCTACCCAAGTATTTTACTCATGTCCCAGATGAAACCCACCCCACTGACTCTCCTCTAACCCTAACAAAGGGGCCTCCTCTTCCCCCCTGAGCCCCACTGCATGTGCCTTTGGCCAGGCCCAGAAATGCCTTGCCTATATGATCTCCAAATGCCTGTGATTATCTCCAGAAGGTTCCAGATAGTTTTCCCTCACTTTAAAATCTATCCTCTACAATGTTTCCAAAGTGAGCACTTATTAAACTCAAATATGTAAGGCCTTCATGAATATGCTGTGAAAACTTAAGATTACATGTAAATAAAGTTCCCTTTTATCCAGCCCATTCGCAATTGCATTCTAAAGTTACTACTACGACCAGCTAAGGTGTGTTCCCCTAATGTCTCTTATCATGATAAGAGATATATGTAATATGCATGTTGTACATACAAAAAGCCAAGTAGGGAGGGCAGGTGGGGAGGGAGGGAGAAGGGGATTGTGGGGCATCATGATTGGTGCACATGGTGTGTGTGGGGTCACAGGGAAGACAGTGTAGCTCAGAGAAGAAAAATAGGGACTCTGTGGCATCTTACTACATTGATGGACAGTGACTGCAATGGGGCATGAGGGGGACTCGATAATAAGGGTGAATGTAATAACCATATTGTTTTCTTGTGAAACCTTCATAAGAGCATACGTCAATGATGCCTTAATAAAAAAAAATTGTTTTCTTTGTGTGTGTTCCTGAGTCCTGGCTAAGGACATCACTTCTTACTTAAAAAAACAAAACAAAAAACCCAAGTAATTTTCTTTAAACATAAATGGTGACATAGCACGATGCTCTATAACTTGCTCTAGTCCCTAATGTGCCTTGTCCCCATCAGTGGACTTTCTTTCTGACTATGGTGCTGTGTGCCAGTGTAGGGACCTCCCACAGCTCCTTCAGCTCTGCCTTTATGGAAGGACATTTAAATTGTTTTAGATTCAGACCTATTTCTCTAAAATGTCAAGGACCATATAATTCTTCTGCTAAATCCTCTAGTTATTTCCCAGAATGCAGCAGGCAGCTTGCATTTCCCAGAATCGTGTTACAGCATTTTATACCATGGCCCCCACCTGCTGCCTAATCTCGTTTCCTCCTTCTCCTTCTTTTCCCATATACACACCCTGCACCTCAGTCAGAATGAGTTATTTGCAATTCCTTAAATACACTGTTTGCTGAATGAATACATGGAAATGCAGTACTCCTCTGAAAACAGGAAAGAGAAGAAAAGAGATCCTGAGTCATCTGTGAAGTGACTACAGAGAATAAGAGGAAGCTCATGTCTGGGTCTCCGCATCCCCTTCTCTACCACCTGAGGACTGAGAACCCTGGGGACACTGTGCTGACCAGCACCTCCAAGCGCACGTCCCTCATCAACCGGACTTGCTGCAGCAACCCTGGCACCTCAGTCCCACCCACTCACCTGACACAGAGCTTCCAGGACTTTCTCTCTCTACTTTCCAGGGATCTTCTCCTTGTTGCAACAGGGAGATCACTTTTGGTTTGGAAAACAGGAGTCCTGCTCATTGCCGAAAAAAGAAAAGAGAAGAAGAAAAAGGCTTGGTTTTGTTTCAACATAGAGGTATATCCCAGATCTGAGTGAAAAACTTGAGGGATAGTAGAAAGAACTTCGGTGGGGTGCTGAAGTTGTCTCCTACCACATGAGTGGGTGTGTTAGGGAAAAGTGAAGGGACTTGTAGCACATGACTGTAATAATCAGTTGTATGTTAGGAAAATATGATAAACATGCAGCCATTATGTTCTGCAAGAATATGTCAGGTGTAGACTGAACCAATATTTGTAAACAGATATCTATGGAAAGGAGCTTGTTTACAATGAGAAAACACTATCTGACTCTCCTTCAAAGACAGTAGCCGTCAGCAAACTATGGGTCACAGGTCAAATCTAGGCCACTGTTTACATAATGGCCCCTGAGCAAAGAGTAGTTGGCAAAAAAAAAAAAAAAGTGGAATGTCATGGGGACATGTGGCCACCAAAGCCTACCTGACCCTTTACAGCAAAAGTTTAACCCTCTTCCATACCCACAGGCTTCATGCTGGTCACCTGTTGGTCTTTGCAGAATGTAAACGTGACTGTGGGAAGGATGCTTCCAACTCGGTGGGGGCTGTGCCTGGCTCTCTGGCCAGAACAGATCCTATGCCAGCTCCCCTGGCTAGGCAGGAGGTGGTCTCTGCTCCTCTGCCGGCTCCTGCCTGCATGCGCAGCTTCCCTTCCCCACACTGGCACACATGCACCTTCCCGGGCCAGGAATGCTTCCTGCATCCTCTGACACGCCATCTGCAAGGCAGCCCCTCCCCGTGCCCTGCTGGTTCCGAGTCTCACAGTGCTTTGGATCTTCCCTGCAGGGTCCTGGCCAGACCCAGTAGGCCCACCCATGTGCACTCAGTTCGTAAACATTTGCCTCCCCGCTGGACAGCCGCTTCTGCTGTGGCAGGGCCTGCAGCTTCTATCAGTGCGGCGTGGCCAGTGCCCAGGAAGGAGCTCACTCTCTGTTTATGATGGGACAGGAGGCAGTGAGTGAGGATTTGGGTCCCCCACCCCAACAGCTCAGCCCCCAGGCATCTAGGCGGCATCTTCTGCCATCTCTCTTCCAGCGACTCCTCCTCAGGCTCAGCCATTCTTCTTTCTGAATCCACCACTCATGTGTTGAGGTCTCCTGTATTTTGTCCTCTGCTGTTCCCTTACTTGCTCAGCTCAAGGCTTCAGATGCTATCTTTGTACCCATGGCTCCCCGAACTCCCTTTGAGTTCCAACCCCAAGTACAAGTTTATAAAATATATTAACTGTGTATATTTAGACCCCTTATACAACTGGCCACTGGCGCTCTCTACCCAAGTATTTTACTCATGTCCCAGATGAAACCCACCCCACTGACTCTCCTCTAACCCTAACAAAGGGGCCTCCTCTTCCCCCCTGAGCCCCACTGCATGTGCCTTTGGCCAGGCCCAGAAATGCCTTGCCTATATGATCTCCAAATGCCTGTGATTATCTCCAGAAGGTTCCAGATAGTTTTCCCTCACTTTAAAATCTATCCTCTACAATGTTTCCAAAGTGAGCACTTATTAAACTCAAATATGTAAGGCCTTCATGAATATGCTGTGAAAACTTAAGATTACATGTAAATAAAGTTCCCTTTTATCCAGCCCATTCGCAATTGCATTCTAAAGTTACTACTACGACCAGCTAAGGTGTGTTCCCCTAATGTCTCTTATCATGATAAGAGATATATGTAATATGCATGTTGTACATACAAAAAGCCAAGTAGGGAGGGCAGGTGGGGAGGGAGGGAGAAGGGGATTGTGGGGCATCATGATTGGTGCACATGGTGTGTGTGGGGTCACAGGGAAGACAGTGTAGCTCAGAGAAGAAAAATAGGGACTCTGTGGCATCTTACTACATTGATGGACAGTGACTGCAATGGGGCATGAGGGGGACTCGATAATAAGGGTGAATGTAATAACCATATTGTTTTCTTGTGAAACCTTCATAAGAGCATACGTCAATGATGCCTTAATAAAAAAAAATTGTTTTCTTTGTGTGTGTTCCTGAGTCCTGGCTAAGGACATCACTTCTTACTTAAAAAAACAAAACAAAAAACCCAAGTAATTTTCTTTAAACATAAATGGTGACATAGCACGATGCTCTATAACTTGCTCTAGTCCCTAATGTGCCTTGTCCCCATCAGTGGACTTTCTTTCTGACTATGGTGCTGTGTGCCAGTGTAGGGACCTCCCACAGCTCCTTCAGCTCTGCCTTTATGGAAGGACATTTAAATTGTTTTAGATTCAGACCTATTTCTCTAAAATGTCAAGGACCATATAATTCTTCTGCTAAATCCTCTAGTTATTTCCCAGAATGCAGCAGGCAGCTTGCATTTCCCAGAATCGTGTTACAGCATTTTATACCATGGCCCCCACCTGCTGCCTAATCTCGTTTCCTCCTTCTCCTTCTTTTCCCGTATACACACCCTGCACCTCAGTCAGAATGAGTTATTTGCAATTCCTTAAATACACTGTTTGCTGAATGAATACATGGAAATGCAGTACTCCTCTGAAAACAGGAAAGAGAAGAAAAGAGATCCTGAGTCATCTGTGAAGTGACTACAGAGAATAAGAGGAAGCTCATGTCTGGGTCTCCGCATCCCCTTCTCTACCACCTGAGGACTGAGAACCCTGGGGACACTGTGCTGACCAGCACCTCCAAGCGCACGTCCCTCGTCAACCGGACTTGCTGCAGCAACCCTGGCACCTCAGTCCCACCCACTCACCTGACACAGAGCTTCCAGGACTTTCTCTCTCTACTTTCCAGGGATCTTCTCCTTGTTGCAACAGGGAGATCACTTTTGGTTTGGAAAACAGGAGTCCTGCTCATTGCCGAAAAAAGAAAAGAGAAGAAGAAAAAGGCTTGGTTTTGTTTCAACATAGAGGTATATCCCAGATCTGAGTGAAAAACTTGAGGGATAGTAGAAAGAACTTCGGTGGGGTGCTGAAGTTGTCTCCTACCACATGAGTGGGTGTGTTAGGGAAAAGTGAAGGGACTTGTAGCACATGACTGTAATAATCAGTTGTATGTTAGGAAAATATGATAAACATGCAGCCATTATGTTCTGCAAGAATATGTCAGGTGTAGACTGAACCAATATTTGTAAACATATCTATGGAAAGGAGCTTGTTTACAATGAGAAAACACTATCTGACTCTCCTTCAAAGATAGTAGCCGTCAGCAAACTATGGGTCACAGGTCAAATCTAGGCCACTGTTTACATAATGGCCCCTGAGCAAAGAGTAGTTGGCAAAAAAAAAAAAAAAGTGGAATGTCATGGGGACATGTGGCCACCAAAGCCTACCTGACCCTTTACAGCAAAAGTTTAACCCGTGGGAAAGCCAAATGCGAAAGGCCAGGGGCAGATCCAGAAGATGAACAAAGCCCTCTGTAAAGGAGGTGAGGCAAACCACAGAGCAGCCGTGGCAGGGAAATGACAGCTAGAGCTTAAACTCCTGGTGTGCAACTTTACGGCGCCCCCATACTTCAGCAGTCCCATGTCTACAAGGGGACCAAAGTTTTTAAATTTACAGAGATCCGATTTACACAATCCTTAGGCAAAACTCAGCCAAAGTTTCTGATGACCCATGGCTTTTATCCAGGGAGGCAAGTGCTTAGGCAATTTCTGAATTCTGTACCTACAGGGAAAATTTCCTTACCCAGTGAGACTAAGTTACTATAGTTCTCCAGCATCACATCCTGGTACAAGTTTCTCTGAGAAGGACCCAGCTCTCTCCACTCAGCCCGCGTAAAGACCACAGCCACATCCTCGAACATCACTGAAACCTGTAATGACAAGCCAGCCCAGCTCACCCAGGACCACCCCTCACACAGGGCAAAGTCGGTGGGGTGGGGAGACAGAGGCATTCCCATGAAGTGCTTCTGATACTATTCTGGGTCGGAAGGTTCCAGCTCATTTGTTTAATGAACAATGGACCAGTGACAAATACACAGTGAGCAGCATGAGGTATGAACCCTACGTTAACCACTGTAAGAGAAGTGTGAAGGTGGGAAGGCCATTAGAGGGAGTGTTGATTAGAATAATCTTTCTAATGGTGATTTGATAACACATATTAAAAGCTTTAAAATATGAATATTCTTTAACTCATTGGTTACTATATTCACATTATAATAAACAGTACACAAAAGTGTACACACAGGACATTTATCATTTTTTTAATCACGTAATTTTAAAAAAGCAAACAACCTAAATGATCACTGATGGAGGCTAGATTTAAAAACTTAAGGCACTATCTGTGTGTTCAACAAAGCCTGAGGTTGGTAATAATGGAATTTAAAATAAGCATTGTTTTTAGAGCTTTATGTTAATCTTTAGTGTAAACACTATATCTTCACAACAACCCCAGGAAGATACTATTATTGTCCCCATTTTACACAAGAAGAAACAAGGAGAAATTTATCCAAGTTACACAGCTGGTGTAAAGGAAAAGCCCACTCCTCCTGTATCTCCTCCACTCTTAACACTCTATAACAGTACTTCTGACACCAGATGTGGGAGTTTTCCACACACCAAGCTATTCTGTGACACCACCTGGGTGTTCTACAATTTAAATTCATTTTGACGCCACCTACTTGGAGATCATGTCAGATCCCACAGGTTAAGGGCTCAGACCCACAAGGTGGCTCCCTCACCACATGAGCCACCCAATGCAAGCCCAGGTTGTCACCTGTGTTTCTGATGAAATAGCTCCCCACTCAGTTTCTATTCATTTGCTGAAGTGGCCCAAGGAACTCAAGAAATCATCTACTTACCAGGTTACCGGTTTCTTATACGATATGCCTCAGGGCCGGCCATGTACAAGAGATGCACAGGGCAAGGCACAGGGAAGGAGGGTGGGGCCCCCTCGCTCTCTCTGGCTGTGCCACTCTCCCCACCTCCAAGTATCCGCCAGCCTCAACTCTCTCCCAACTCCAACCTTTCTGGTTTCTTTGGAGGTTTCATTACATAGGCACGATAGATTAAATCACTGGCCATTAAACAGGCATGATGATTCAACCTCCCGGCCCTGGAGGGGAACTGAAAGTTTCAACCCTCTAACCAGGGTTGGTTCCCCTACCAGTGAGCCCACATCCTTAGGGGCTTTCCAAAAGTCACCTCATTAAGACAAACTCTGGTGTGCTTGAAAGTACTTGTTACAAATAACAAAACACACCCATTTCACCTTTATTGATCTTTGATATATCTGGAATAAAAGCTAAATATTAGTAATCAGTTAGCTTCCAAAACCTTTGTCATTTTCTATGTGCTAGGAATAGGGATGAAGACCAAATATGTATTTCATATTATAAATCCCAATGTCGTAGATGGCGGCAAGAGAGGTGAGACAGAGAACTCCTTGCCAAACCACATACATTACAAAAATATAGTTAATACAACTAATCCTAAAAGAGCAACAGGAAAGAAGGCTGCACCAGAGTGCATCCACCTGGAGAACAGAGCAGACCTGATGGAACAGGGTAACGTACCAAAGCCTTGACCCGGCAGGACCCAAGCCATTCCCCTCCCCCAGCTCAAAGGCAGGAAGAAGAGAAATGGAGCGGAGAAGGAGTGGAAGCTCAGGACTGCTGAACACCCAGCCCTGGAGATTTGCTACAGGAGCACAAACCTACATTGCATGGTGCTCTGGAGATTGGTGGGGTTGGAAAGCTAACAAAGGCGGAATACTTGGAGAGACTGAGATACCAGCCATTTGTGGAGGACAGGGATCCACATCCAGCTACTCTGGGACAAAGGAAAGGCAGGCAGTCTGAGAGGCTTCCTAGCAGTGCAAGGGCTGCTGAAGGGGTGGGGTTTGCATGGAGCTTGCTGCACTGGAGAAGGGATAGGTGGACAAGGTTTTCTGGGTGTGCTCTGCCCAGCAGGTTGGAACTTTCAGGAGCTTCAGGTGCTCCATCCCCCAGGCTGGCTACTCAGCTCCAAGGCCCCCACTGTGATAAGCAGCCTGCTGCTCCTTCCTCCTAGCATGCTGGCAGCAGTTCTCAAACTAGCAGTCCCTGCCCTGGCATTGGGCCAGCCAGAGGGAGGCCCCGACTATGGCAGCTACAGATGCAAAGCACAGAGACTTACACCTGTGTGCTGGCCCACTGGTTCTGACAGTGGAGACAGGCACTGCAGCTGGGAAGCAGGAAACAGCTCTTTCCTCCCCCCAGGCACCAGTGCCGCTCCCCTGACCCTGACTTCACTCCACGGGCTGAGCAGCTCCAGAGACTAGAGCTTCTGGGCACTAGAGGGCGCCACACACAAATAAGAAACATCAAAGGAACCTGGTTCAGACCAGAATCTCACAAACACCACAAAAAGGGTCAAGTGAAACAGAACTCACCAATCTTCCTGAAAGAGTTCAAAATAAAAATCATAAACATGCTCATGGAGGTACAGAAAAATATTCAAGAACTCAGGGACGAATTTAGGATGGAGATTCAATCATTAAGAAATTTCATATTTGAAATGAAACATACAATGGAGGTATTTAAAAGCAGCTTAGATGAAGTAGAAAAGACAGTAAATGGAATAGAAATTAGAGAACAAGAATACAAAGAAACTGAGGTACAGAGAGAAAAAAGAATGTCTAAGAATGAAAGAATATTGAGAGAACTGTGTGACCAATCCAAACAGAACAATATTTGCATTATAGGGGTACAAGAAGAAGAAGAAAGAGAAAAAGGGACAGAAAGTGCCTTGAGGAGGTAATTGGTGAAAACTTCCCCAATCTGGGGAAGGACATAGTCTCTCAAGCCATGGAGGTGCACAGATCTCCCAACACAAGGGACCCAAGGAAGACAACATCAAGACATATAATAATTAAAATGGCAAATATCAAGGATAAGGACAGACTTTTGAAGGAGCTACAGAGAGAAAAAAGACCACATACAATGGAGAACTCATCAGGCTATCATCAGACTTCCCAACAGAAACTTTTCAGGCCAGAAGGGAGTGGTGTGATATATTTAAACCAATGAAGCAGAAGGGCCTCAAACCAAGAATACTCTACCCATCAAGACTATCATTTAAATTTGAAGCAGGAATTAAACAATATCCAGATAAGCAAAAGCTGAGAGAATTTACCTCCCACAAACCACCTCTACAGTGAATTTTGGAGGGACTGCTATAGATACAAGTATTCCTAAGGCTAAATAGCTGTCACTAGGGGAAATAAAACCACAGCAAAGTAGAACAATTAATTACTAAGCAGATGCCAAATCAAATCAACTACCCCCAAAGTTAATCAAGGGTTAGACAAAGAGTACAGAATATGATACCTAATATATAAAGAATAGAGGAGAAAAAGGAGAAAAAAAGAACCTTTAGGTTGTGCTTGTAATAGCATAGTAAGTGAGTTAAATTAGACTGTTAGAAAGTAAGGGAATTACCCTTGAACCTTTGGTAACAATGAATCTAAAGCCTGCAATGGCAATAAGTACATACCTATTGATAATCACCCTAAATGTAAGTGGTCTGAATGTACCAATCAAAAGACACAGAGTCACTGAATGGATAAAAAAACAAGACCCATCTATATGCTGCCTACAAGAGACTCACTTCAAACCCAAAGACATACACAGACTGAAAGTAAAGGGATGGAAAAACATATTTCATGCAGCTAATAGGGAGAAGAAAGCAGGAGTTGCGGCACTTGTATCAGACACAATAGACTTCAAAACAAAGAGAATAACAAGAGACAAAAAAGGACATTACATAATGATAAAGGGGTCAGTCCAACAAGAGGATATAACCATATAAATATCTATGCACCCAACACAGGAACACTGACATATGTGAAACAAATACTAACAGAATTAAAGGGAGAAATAGAATGGAATGCATTCATTTGAGGAGACTTCAACACACCACTCACTCCAAAGGACAGATCAACCAGATAGAAAATAAGTAAGGAGACAGAGCCACTGAACAACGTATTAGAACAGATGGACCTAACAGACATCTACAGAACACTCCATCCAAACATAATGATACACATTCTTCTCAAGTGCACATGGAACATTTTCCAGAATAGACCACATACTAGGCCACAAAAAGAGCCTCAGTAAATTCAAAAAGATTGAAATTGTACCAACCAGTTTCTCAGATCATAAGGGTATGAAACTAGAAATAAATAACACAAGAAAATTAAGAAGCTCACAAACACATGGAAGCTGAATAACATGCTCCTAAATAATCAATGGATCAATGACCAAATAAAAACAGAGATCAAGCAATAAATGGAGACAAATGACAACAGTAATTCAACACCACTAAATCTGTGGGACGCAGCAAAGGCTGTGCTGAGAGGGAAGCATATTGCAATACAGGCCTACCTCAGGAGAAAGAAGAACAATCCCGAATAAACGGTCTAAACTCACAATTAACAAAACTACAAAAAGAAGAACAAAGGAGGTCCAAAGTCAGTAGAAGGAGGGACGTAATAAAGATTAGAGAAGAAATAAATAAAATTGAGAAGAATAAAACAATAGAAATAATCAATGAAAGCAGGAGTTGGTTCTTCGAGAAAATAAACAAAATAGATAAACCCCTAGCCAGACTTATGAAGAAAAAGAGTCAACACACACAAACAGAATCAGAAATGAGAAAGGAAAAATCACTACAGACACCACAGAAATACAAAGAATTATGAGAGAATACCATGAAAAATTATATGCTAACAAACTGGATAACCTAGAAGAAATGGACAACTTTCTAGAAAAATACAACCTTCCAAGACTGACCCAGAAAGAAACAGAAAATCTGAATAGACATATTACCAGCAAGGAAGTTGAACTGGTAATAAAAAACTCCATAAGAACAAAACTCCTGGACCAGATAGTTTCACTGCTGAATTCTAACAAACATTTAGTGAAGACCTAATACCCATTCTTCTTAAAGTTTTCCAAAAAGTACAAGAGGAGGGAATACTCCCAAACTCATTCTATGAGACCAGCATCACTCTAGCACCAAAACCAGGCAATGACACCACAAAAATAGAAAATTACAGACCAATATTTCTGATGAACATAGAAGCAAAAATACTCAACTAAATATTAGCAAACTCAACTAAATATTAGCAAAAATTCAAAAATACATCAAAAAGATCATCCATCATGATCCAGTAGGATTTATTCCAGGAATTCAAGGATGGTACAACATTTGATAATACATCAACATCATCCACCACATCAACAAAAAGGACAAAAACCACATGATTATCTCCATAGATGCTGAAAAAGCATTTGACAAAATTCAACGTCCATTCATGATAAAAACTCTCAACAAAATGGGCATAGAGGGCAAGTACCTCAACATAATAAAGGCCATATATGACAAGCCCACAGCCAACATTACACTTAACAGCAAAAAGCTGAAAGCTTTTTCTTTAAGATCAGGAGCAAGACAAGGATGCCAATTCTTCCCACTTTTATTCAACATAGTTCTGGTGGTCCTAGCCATGGCAATCAGACAACACAAAGAAATAAAAGGCATCCAGATTGGCAAGGAAGAAGTTAAACTGTCCCTGTTTGCAGATGACATGATATTGTACATAAAAAAATCCCAAAGAATCCACTCCAAAACTACTAGATCTAATATCTGAATTCACCAAAGTTGCAGGATACAAAATTGATACACAGAAATCTGTTGCATTCCTATACACTAACGATGAACTAGCAGAAAGAGAAATCAAGAAAACAATTCCATTCACAATTGCATCAAAAAGAATAAAATACCTAGAAGTAAACTTAACCAAGGAGGTGAAAGACCTGTACTCTGAGAACTACAAGACACTCATGAGAGAAATTAAAGAAGATACCAATAAATGGAAACGCATCCCATGCTCATGAATAGGAAGAATTAATATTGTCAAAATGGCCATTCTGCCTAAAGCAATCTATAGATTCAGTGCAATCCCTATCAAAATACCAACAGCATGCTTCAACGAACTCAAGCAAATAGTTCTAAAATTCATATGGAACCACAAAAGACCCCAAATAGCCAAAGCAATCCTGAGAAGGAAGAATTCAGCAGGGGTGATTACACTCCCCGACTTCAAGCTCTACTACAAAGCCATAGTAATCAAGACAATTTGGTACTGGCACAAGAACATACTCATAGACCAATGGAACAGACTAGAGAGCCCAGATATAAACCCAAGCATATATGGTCAATTAATATACAAAAAGGAGCCATGGATATACAATGAGGAAATGACAGCCTCTTCAACAATTGGTGTTGGCAAAGCTGGACAGCTACAAGCAAGAGAATGAAACTGGATTATTGTCTAACCCCATATACAAAAGTAAACTCAAAATGGATTAAAGACCTGAATGTAAGTCATGAAACCACAAAACTCTTAGAAGAAAACATAGGCAAAAATCTCTTCAATATAAGAATGAACTAGTGATTACCAAAGGAAAGAGGTGTGGGAGGGCAGGTGGTGAGGGAGGGAGAAGGGGAGTGAGGGGTATTATGTTTAGTACACATGGTGTGGGGGATCACGGGGAGAACAGTGTAGCACAGAGAAGGCACATAGTGGATCTGTGGCATCTTACTACACTGATGGACAGTGACTGCACTGGGGTATGGGTGAGGACTTGATAATATGAGTAAATGTAGTAACCACATTGTTTTTTCATATGAAACCTTCATAAGAGTGTATATCAATCATAACTTAATAAAAAAAATCTCTTGAACATAAACATGAGCAACTTTTTCCTGAATGTATCTCCTCAGGCAAGGGAAACAAAAAATGAACAAATGGGACTACATAAAGTTAAAAAACTTCTGTACAGCAAAGGACACCATCAGCAGAACAAAAAGGCATCCTACAGTATGGGAGAATACATCTATAAATGACATATCCAACAAGGGGTTAACATCCAAAATATATAAAGAACTCACATGCCTCAACACCCAAAAAGCAAATAACCCTATTAAAAAATGGGCAGAGAATATGAATAGACAATTCTCCAAAGAAGAAATTCAGGATGGCAAACAGGCACATGAAAAAATGCTCCACATCACTAATTATCAGGGAAATAAATGCAAATTCAAACCACAATGAAATATCACCTCACATCAGTTAGGATGGCCAACATAGAAAAGACTAGGAACAACAAATGCTGGTGAGGATGCAGAGAAAGGGAGCAGGCAAGGTTAGGGAGAAGGCCGCACGGGACTTGCTCCCACAGGGATGGAGAAGGTTCTGGGCAAGAGAGCACCTGGCTGTGCTGGAGTGGAATGGGAAAGCCTCAGCAAAAGGCAGCTGAAACAGGTAATGCCAGGTCCTGGCCATAGCCTCAGAAATCAAATGTCACCATGTTTCGAGGGCCCAAAGATAACATCACGGTGCACAAGGGCTCCTCCGACATGTGGGCTGGGTCTGCCCTGTGTTCTGCAAGATGCAGCAGAGGAATGGCTGGACGATAACAAGCACTAACTTAGAGGATAGACATGCTTGAGTTTGAACTCAGGTTACTTGACTTCTTTGAGCCTCAGTTTCCTTGTATGTAAAATGGGGATGATAACTGCTGGGCTGCCATATGGCTGAGAACATAGGTAAAGCCCTCAGGCCATTCCGCAACAACATTCACTGTTACTCTCAGGTGGAGAGGAGTAAAGAAAGGACAAGTATTCTCTGGGTCCTAGAAACACTGCACAGCAGTTTCTACCCACATTAATAGTATCATTACTAGGGTAATATGGTTCAGCTACCACAACAAGCACATATTGAACAACTATGTGCCCGGCCCTGATCTAAACACTTCCATGCACTAACTCACGTGATCCTCTCACCTACCCTGTGAAGTAGGCATGGTTGTTATTCCCATTTTACAAGTAAGGAAACGGAAGAATAGAGCGGTGGACTTATTTGCCCAGTGAATGGCATGAATGGCAAGAGAGAAGTTTAAACCCGGTCTTCTGTCTGGAGAGTCCCACTTCCTGACCACTGTATATACTGCTTCTCCAGTAACAATATCCCTGCTCTCAGAGTTGAGACCTCTTCAGCTGTGTCCCTTCCCACATGGCTATCCTTTGTTCCCACACTAGCTCACCAGGATGGGGTCCCTCCCCCATTCCCATACTAAACAGGTGAAAAGGGCAGGTCAAGAACAGTCTTCAAGTGGTAGAAGCAAAGCATATGATCCACAATGTTAAGAAGCTTTCAAGACAGCTGGAGAAGCCTGGGGAAGGTAGAGTGAGGATTCTTGGGGGTGGAAAGAAAAAGGAAAGCATTCTTGCTGAGGGCAGGGAGGGAGACATGGGTGAGCAAAGGAGGCAGGGCCAGAAAGGAACTCTGACAAGTGTGCATGTTTGTTCTGTCTCCAGACAGATATGACATGTGGCACCTTATCTATCAAATTAGTAATCACACAGTGAATTGAGATTAATAAATAAAAGAGTACCTATTAGGAATGAAAAGACAAACACTAAACATGGATTGGCAGGGGGCAGCAAATATTCCCTACAGAACCCACCATCCACCAGGGGGACCAGCTCCTCAAAGGCAAAAGGACTGAGGCTCCAAATCCTGGAGGGATTGTATTGGGTAGAGAACTTGGGTTAGGGACAGATGTATTTCTTTTTGTACTCTAACTCCTGAGATGGCAATGAACTCACCTGAGACTTGGCTTCCCTCTGTTCAGTAGCCATGTCCTCTTTGTGGTCACTTCCCTCTGAAGATGGGCAGCGTCTCCAGAAGGCAGATCTGATAGGAAAAAGGGACCCAGGAGGAAGAAGCCCCTTCTGCTTTCCACCCCTCAGAACCACCACCTCTGAAATTCTTAACACCACAGGAGAGTGACACCAGGTGTCACTCCTGGGCCAGTGCCTTCCCTGGCCTGCTCAGCAGGGGGAGTCTCCGGAACTGCCCAGACGTCACTCTAGAGGGGAGTCAGAAAGAACTAGCAGCAGACAGGACCAGAGAGAAAGTTTGGGCCATCCTGGTCCTAGCCCCAAATCTTCTCCTGGCCCAGAGGAAAAGGGCCTAAAACTCTACCAGCAGCAGCGTCGCACTGCGCCTCACTGTGTGCTGGGCACGGCCTGGGGACCAATCAATCCCACAGCACAGATGGCATTGTCAGTAACCCCCGTTTCCAGGTCAGGAAACTGAAGGCAGAGTGGGAGCAACTTAGCTCAGTTCACGCAGCCGGTGACGGTGCACCAGGATGTCTCCCAGGACGCACTCCAGAGCAGCAGCTCCAATCTCACTGCGCGCCATGTGACAACTTTTCTCCACCTCAAGCTTTCTCCACCCCATTCCTCCCACCCTGTCAAGGAGTCAATTTCTGTATTTTTAGAGAAAACTGATTGGGAACAGGAAAACATCAGCTTTCCTATGGCGGGGAGAGATGCGGTCTTGAGAAAGGGGCACGGAAACCAAGGATATGAGCTTGGGTCCCGACCCTGCCACTGGGGAACGCCGACAACTCATTCTCGCTCACTATACTTCGTTATGACCCCACCCGGGAGGGCAGTGAGATGGAAATGGGAGGAAATGCAACTCCACGTTCGCTGACAGCCGGTAGCAAATTAAGCCTCCTGCTGGGGCCGGGCAGGTGACGCACTGGGCACGGGTCGGGAGGAAGCAGGATGGTGGCTGGGGCCTGAGGCCCCCGGGGGCGAAAGCCCGACCTGCTTTCCTGGAGCGTCTGCCGGACGGCTGGTGGCAGGCGGACAGCGCGGGGGTGCACGGCCTTTGGCCTGCCGCGCCCACAAAGGCCCACAAAGGCCCGGCGCCGCATCCTCCCGAGGCCCCGGGACTCCCTCCCACATCCCGCCCGCCCTCCGCTGCTCACCTCGCCCAGGCCTCCCGGGTTCCCGGGGCCAGTGCCTTCCCCGGCCGTGCTCACAGGGGGTGCCTCCGGAACTGCCCCGGGCCGACAGCAGCCTGAGGTCGGGGCTCCTCCCTGGCGGACCTCGGGTCCCAAGGCCGCTTACTCCGGGTGCAAAAGCCCCGCGCCCCCGCAAGTCCGGGAGGGGCGGGGCAGGGGGCGCGCTAGGGGGTTGCCGCTAAGGCCTCCGGAGGATGTAGTCCAAGCGAGAACCCAAGCATCCTGGGAAGTGTAGTTCTCTGGCCTGCTGCGAGGCGGGCTAAGGCGAGCTTGTTACGTGCCCAGTTGCCATTTCCGGGTGTGGGGTACCATCCTCGGGCGGCAAGGTCTCGGCTCCCGTTTCCTATGGAGGTTAACGGCGGTTCGCCGGGTGCGGTGTCTTGTGGCTCTGCGTTTGCAAATATGATAGGTTTGTTCCCGGCGGTTGTCTGTATACCTATTTCCCCTTAAGTCATTCCGCCAAAGTGAATTGAGCACTTGCCATATGCCAAGTGCCGTTGTAAGTAAGCGGTTGGAAACAAGGCAGTGAACAAAACAAGTATCGCTGCCCTTGAGAACTTTTAGGAGGTAAGGAGCAGGCAACAGCCATAGACATAATTCTATAGCATTTTAGAAGATAAGCATTACGGGAAAAAGTAAAAGGAAAGCAGGGTCGGAAGTATCTGGGGTAGGTGTGGAGGCAGTCGTAGCAAGGGGTAATTACGTCAGGAATACCACCCTATGTTGATGTAGCATGGAAGTAAACACTGGTGAGACAGATTAGGAAGCCTCTGTAAATTCTTGTTCTTGGCTCAACTCATGTGCGTAGTCATCATCATGTCAACCTGTAAATAAAAATGCTGAGACTTTGGATTGATTGAATTTATAAAATAACTTGGGGAAAATTAAAATCTTCACAATATTGATTCTAATAATCCATTACTATGGTATATCTTGCCTTTTATTTAGGTCTAACAACTCCATATATTTTCCCCATAGCAGCATTGCATATTTTTGTACATTTCATTTGTTTCATATTTTTTGAAGCTTTTGTAAATGGTATCTTTTAAAATATGTATTAAGTGTGGGTTTTGTATAAATCTTACTGCCTAAAGGTTTTTGTAAATTCCAATAATGAATTTGCCATTTTGGATTTTTTATTTACTATCATATAACATGTGAATGACAGTTTTGCTTCTTTTGTTTATGTATTATTTTCCCTATAATTATCATATTGAGTAGTCTATGATTTCTAGTCAAAGTAGGGGGAGGTGAGCAAAATGGCAAAGTAGAAAGCTCCAAGCCCTCCATCCTCCTTGAGAACATAAAATAAAAATAAAAGATTAGAAACTAGAAACTAGCTAAAATAACCTTTCAAAGGCTTTGGAAAACGTCTGCATCAACCAAAGAACACTCAAACATTTGAAATTGTGGGAAATTATGTGATATTTCTACTTGTCCTTGCCCCATCTCTGCAGGTGTTTGGAGAGGAGGCTGCTGAGTTCCCAGTTCACTCCAACAGTGGGAATCGAGCAGCCTTTATTTCTAAAGTTCTAGCCTGTTTGGGGGCAGCCAGAAGTACTGGGCTCCCTCTTGCCTAACTCATATCTCAGGTGAGGAAAAGCAGAGAACATTGCTGTGAGAGTGGCTGGTAGTTTATAGTCCCACAGACACCTGGGGCAGTAACTCAAGGGTACAGACTTAAGACAGACCACCTAAGGCCCTGAGGAGAGGCTAGGGTGAGGCTCTTTGGGAAATCAAGACATTTAAAAGCAGCTAAAAAAGTGACATAGGAACGCTTTCACCTCCATCTGATCCCTAGGCTGAGAGCAAGCCAGCTAATTGGTTTTATGCTATAGCAGTCCTGTATTAGTCCCTTTACTAATCCGCAAAGACTGGCAGAAGTGACTATTTTTTTGTTTTGTTTTGGGTGCTTTTTTAAAGACATTATTATTATTATTATTATTATGCTATAGCAGTCCTGTATTAGTCCCTTTACTAATCCGCAAAGACTGGCAGAAGTGACTATTTTTTTGTTTTGTTTTGGGTGCTTTTTTAAAGACATTATTGAGAGATACAGAAACTTTCCACATACTTTCTGCTCCAACATGTGCATAGTCTCCCCTATTATCAACATCCCTTCCTAAAGAGGTACACTTGCAACAATTGGTGAATTGACATGCATTGACATAGCACAATTATCTGGAGTCCATAGTTTACTTCAGGGTTCCCTTTCGGTGTTGTACATTCTACAGGTTTGGACACTTGTACGGTGAAAAGTATCCTCCAGTACAGGGTAGTTTCACTGCCTTAAAATCCTCTGTGCTTTGCCTATTCATCCCTCCCTGTCCCCTAACTTCTAGCAACCCGTTTCCTATGGAGGTTAACAATATTTGTATTGTCTCCATAGTTTTGCCTTTTTCAGAATGTCTTATAGTTGGACTAATGCAGTATGTAGCCTTTCCAGTTCGGCTTCTTTAACTTAGTAATAGGCACTTAAGTATCCCCTGGGTCTTTTCATGGCTTGATAGCTAGTTTCTTTTTAGTTTTGACTGATATCCCATTTTCTGAATGTAACAGTTTATCCACTCACCTACTGAAGGACATCTTGGCTGCTTCCAGGTTTTGACAATTATGAATAAAGCTGCTGTAAACATCCATGTGCCGGTTTTTGTGCGGACATAAATTTTCAAGTCTTTTGAGCATGATTGCTGGGGTATGGTAAAAGTGTTTAGTTTTGTAAGAGACTGCCAAACTGTCTTCCAAAGTGCTGTACCATTTTGCATTTCTGTATATGAGTTCCTGTTGCTCTATGTCCTCAACAGCATGTGGTGGTGTCAGTGTTCTGGATTCTGGCCATTCTAATAGGCATGTAGAGATATTTCACAGTTTTAATTTGCATTTCTTTGATATATGATCTGAATATCTTTTTGTTTGCTTATTTGCCATCTCTGTATCTTCTTTAATGAGATGACTTACAGTCTTTGGTCCATTTTTTAATCCAGTTTTCTTACTGTTGAGTTTTAAGAGCTCTTTGTATATTTGGGGTACCAGTCCTTTATCAAAATATTTTTCAAACATTTTCTCCCAGTCTGTTTCTTGTCTTCTCGTTCTCTTGATAGTGTCTTTCACAGAGCAGAGGTTTTTAATTTTAATGAAGTCCAGCCTATTAATTGTTTCTTCAATAATGCTTTTGGTCTTTTATCTAAAAAATTTTTACCTTACTCAAGGTCATCTAGGTTTTCTCCTGTGTTACCTTTTAAAATTTTATCATTTTGCATTTTACATTTAGGTCTGCAGTCCATTTTGAGTCGATGAAGGGTATAGGTCTGTGTCTAGATTCACCTTTTTGCATGCCGATGTCCAAATGTTCCAGCACCATTTGATGAAGAGACTGTCATTACTCCATTGTATTGCCCTTGCTCCTTGTCAAAGATCAATTGACTGTATTTATGTAGGTCTGTTTTTAGGATTTCTATTCTGTCCATTGATCTGTCTATTCTTTCACCAGCACCATACTGTCTTGATCATTGTAGCTTTATAGTATGCCTTGAAGTCAGGTAACATCAGTTCTTCAACTTTGTTCTTCTTCAATATTGTGTCAGCTATACTGGGTCTTTTGCCTCTCCATATAAACTTTAGAATCAGTCTGTCAGTACTCACAATAATAAATAATTCTCAGGGATTTTGACTAAGATTGCATTAAATCTATAAGTCAATTTGGGAAGAGTTGACATCTTGGCAATACTGAGTCTTCCTATCAATGAATGTGGAACATATCTTCATTTATTTCTTTCTTGATTTCATTCATCAAGGTTTTGTAGTTTTCTTCATATAGATCTTGTACATATTCTGTTAGATTTATACTTAAGTATTTAATTTTGGGGGTATTAATGTAAACGGTATTATGTTTTTAATCTTAAATTCCCCTTGTTGATCACTGCTATAGAGGAAAGTGATTGACTTTTGTATATTAACCATGTATTCTGCAACCTTGCCATAACTATTTATAGTTCTAGCAGGGTTTTTTTTTGTCTGTTATATTGAATTTTCTGCATAGATTATAATGTAACTGTTGGAGAAGGTCATCAAGAGGACATGACTGCCAGTTGGCCCACAAACTGGACGTGGGCAGTTGGAGGTCCCTTACTTACTCCCCTGTCCCTGGAATGTACAATCTGCCTACCGTTCTCAAACTAGCAATCATTTCAAGGTATTCAGCCTTTGGAGAGTAATGTGTTTTTGAGACTCTCTGGACTGGATATGTGACTGAACCCCATAAGTCTTCTCTATAAACTAAGATTCTGTCAGGTGGATCAAAGATCTACTAGTCTTATGGCTGCCCATGACAAGCCCCATATGTAAGTTACCTTCTTTCTTAAAGCTGGCACCTACCAATCTTGAGTGGCCTCTTTCTTTGGTCTCTTCTTGTTCTCTGTGTATAGGGATTACTTCCAAATTTCACCTGGGGGAATCCTGAGGTTGCATATCAACACTCATCTGTGAACAAAGACAGTTTTATTTCTTCCTTCCCTTTCTGTGTGCCTTTCATTTTCTTTATTTGTCTTATTATATTAATTAAGACTTCCAATATGATGTTGAAAAACAGTGGTGAGAGGAGATACCTTGTCTTTTTCCTCATCTTAGTGGGGAAGCTTTGAGTTTCTCACTACTGAGTGAGTTAGCTGTAGGGTTTTTATAGATATTCTTTATTAAGTTGATGAAGTTTTCCTCTATTCCTAGTTTAGGGATAGTTTTTATCATGAATAAGTATTGGATTTTGTCAGATATTTTTTTCTGCATCTATATGTTCATGTGATTTTTCTTTAGTCTGTTGATATGATGGATTATATTCTTTGATTTTTTGAATGTTGTATACCTGGGATAAATACACACTATATACCACTGGTCATGGCATAAAATTCTTTTTATACATTTTGGATTCAATTTGCTAATATTTTGTTGAGTATT